ATACACTACAGAAGGTAAAAAGTGCAAACACTGAGAAAGTTTTTTTGTGACCAGTTATTGGCTCGTCGTTTCAATTGAGTCGCAACTCCGGACCAGTAGGACGTGCCGCTTGGGGGGTGCTTCAATGGCACTCGTATAGTAGTCGCACTGGGTGCAGCTCCACTCTATGCATTCGTATTGCCACGGCGTCGTCGCCCAGGCTCCATGCAAGAATCCTCAACACTTTTCTAGATTTATTGAGGCTCCTGTGGTCTTACAAAAGCAGCAAGTGAGATCCATGACATTGGTCACGCTTTTCTCGTCTTTACAAAAATATACGACATCGACGGCATATGCTAGAACTTTAATTTCAGTCATGCTCAAAGGAAAACCTTGTACTTTTTTACTTCTTACTATGCTTTGGCACAAAGGTTCTCGATATAGAGTAAAAAGTGATAGAGATAACGGACAGCAATGTCGAACTGAAGAGCAAATTGGGATGCTTTCTGTAGCTTTGTTATTTATGACTAAATGTGTACAACAGTTTGTGTACGACATTTTAATGCCATGAAGTATCATATTGCCGCGCGCCAAGTAGGCAGCGCGGCCTTAGCCTAACGGTCATCGCGCTTGCCTCCCACGCGAAGGGCCAGGGTTCGATTCCTGGCCGCGGCTATGCATTTTTGTTAACACTGTATTGTGATGTTCTGGTGAAATCGAGAACCGTCTAGCTGATTCGAGGTCAGAATGTTCAACGCGTCGAACCTTCTACGTCGAATGCTCCAGAAGCCAACGTGTGTACAAAAGCGGCTCCGCGGGCAAGCCGGAGCCAGTTTCGCCCCAGCGTTCGACTGTGCTGCTCCGCCGACTTCGATGCCCGCGACGCTCTGTTATTATCGTTGTACCCCTTTTATTTTTTGGCACAAGTTCGCCACATTAAACGTTTATTTCTTCCTGTTTATTTTCTATTTTTTGGTCACCACCCGTGACAATATCACCAACGCCAATGTGCGACAAAATCATGAAAATAACATTATGACTAACACGGTCAAATGCTTTTGCGAGATCAACTTGCAGCATCGCAACCTGAGAATTGCTGTTGGCAACACACTCTAATACGCTTTTTGCAAATATGAATATTTGTCTGAGTAGACCTTCCAGGAATCCCACACGTCTGGTGATCCCCTACTAAATCGCAAATAACGCGCTGCAATCTATTTGTCAGTTTTCTTGCAAATATATTACTGTCCTCGTTGCACATTGTGATTCGTCGATAGCCAGTCACTTGTGAAAGTTTCTTTTTTATCTTTCTTTTGAATAAGAATAGTGGGTGTATGCAAAAAAGAGGGCGGAAGACTTTTGTTTTCGTAGGCTTCTTGAACAATCTCCTGCAAAATGGGACATGAAGTGGTTTTGCGAAGTTCATAAAGTTCTGCATTTATATCATCCGGTCCTAGGATTTTGTTTTGCAAGGGAATCCACAGCGTTTTCTACCTCAGCTAAACTGATCGGTTCTTTCAAATCTTTTGTGCGCTCTCTATTTAACTGGAGAAGCAATGTTACGAGTTCCTTTAGACATTCTTTATATGTAGAGGCAATCTTTGTGTCAAATTTGTAATGTTCAGAAGAGACTTCGGCTATAGCTTGGCTACCTGAAATAATCATGTTGTTTTGCATTAGCTGAATTTTGTTCATTCATCGCGTACCTTTTTTCCTCCTTGATTACCTTTTTTGTTAGCTGTTTTCCCAAGAAATAGTTTACAGCACGAGAACGTATATCAACTCGTTAATAACGCTCTTGATGGAATTTATCGAGCTTTGCTGTTATGCGGATAATATCATCCTAACCTTGGCCAGAATTTTGAAATTTAAGTTGAACCAAGGCACGCAAATTACTCATCAACGTCCTTTCTGTCTCAAACTTCTGAAATTGTATGACACTAGCTCTCTCACTTGCTATCTGTTTAATAATTGTTTAAAAAGCTCCGATTTAACAGATATATGTTCAGTTGTTTTCCCTAATTGGTAAAAAAAAATCAGTCGCAGTTGCTACAAAGTTTTTATCTTTAAACAATTCATAATTAAGTTTCCATACTTTCCAATTTATTCTCTTTTTTATTCGTTTCCTTCCATTTGTTATTGATACCATGCAATGTTGTGGAAAAAAAACTAGATCTACGGCTTGACCGTTTAAATTGTCAATAAGTTCTGCTGAGCAAAAAATTTTATTAAGTCCTGCGTGTGGTGCGTTTTGAAAATGGGTATATGGTAGTGTTTTTTCTTTAGCTGAAATGATGCAACATCAAAAATATTAGACTCGTGCATAATGTCATGTAGCAGAAATATAAATTTTGACCTGACTTTTGTCACTTCGAAATTTATATTTCGCTCTGTTTGTAGCGTCCCAAATGCAGTTAAAGTCTCCAAGCAGAACCACCATTCTATCACAAAGTAAATAAGGTCGCAGGTGATCAAAAAAAGTTACTTTTGCATTCACCTCATTTGGCGCATAAACGCATATCACCCTCCACATTATATCGGAAACTTGGAAGTCGCACATAATGCAGCGCCCGCAAAGGTAGGTCGTAATAGCTAAATCAGACAAATGAAAATACTTTATAATAAACAATAAACGCCCAGCGGAAAGAAATACAGCATGCCTGACGCATACCTCGCTGTCATACACGAAATGTTCTATGGCCTCTTCTACCTGTTCTACCGTTGACAGTTTTGTTCCCTGTACGGCTCGAAAGCATACCCTTTTGTCTTCAAGTAACGATTCAAATGATATTGTTTCTTTCGAAAGTTAAATCCTCTTACATTTGGGTAACAATACGAAGGCTCTCAGTTAAAGGTAGTGGAAGAGGAGGAGGGGGGATGAGGAAGGGAAGGAGGAGAGGGAGGAGGAAGGACAAGGGGAGGGGGTGGGGTGGGGTCGGTTCATGTATACTCCAGTGTGCAAGGGAGGATTTTCGCTTACTCGCCATGGCGTCATGTGGGTGTCTTTCCCTCCTCTTGGCGTCACTATTGTCCTTGCACGTGCTACAGCTCGTGGTCCGTTGCGGACGGGTCGCTTTTGTTGTCAAACCTTGTATGTCCGTCTACAGACACCGTTGACTGTTTCGGTACCTCCGTTTCCGGTGTTGACAAGGTGTCCTTGAACGGTCCTTCCTGGGAAGCTACTTTCACGGTTTTTGTCGATGTTGTGTCTTGGAGTATCTCCGAAACTTACTTTTCAACTTGTTTTTTGCTCTCTCCGGAACACTGAAGCAGTGCCTCTCTGTGCTGCGCTTGAGGGGAGAGAACATCTCCACTAGCATCCACTACATCGGAGACGTCCCTCAAAAGCTCCGGGTTGGCGTCAGGGTCGTTGCCAGTGCCTCGCAGTACGGTTGCATAACTTGAAAATCACTCTTCACTTTCATGCCCGAATCTATTACAACGTGTGCATTTCGTCTAGCCTCAAACCCAGGGACTGGGCTCGAAAACGGTTTCCTGCCCCTGGGGTCGAGTGTTTCTTGGAAAAATGTATAAGAACTAGAGGTAGAAGGGTTTCCTCGGCCAGGGGCCAACGGAGAACATGAAAGCACGACCGTTTGAAACGGCCTCTTCTTCTTTCTCCGGGCCAAGCAGGACCGCTTGAACGGCTTGGAAACGAGCGAAGCTTTATATTTAGCTATCGCACTCCACTCTTAAATGCGAAGCTTAAGCGTCCTGTATTTGTTTGGGGCGAAGCTCCTTAGGGTCGTGCCTTGTCCGTCCGTCCGTCCGTCCGTGCTCACATAGAAACAAAAGATGTTTGCGCAGTCGACAGGATTCGAACCTGTGCGGAGAGACCCCAATGGATTTATAGTCCATCGCCTTAAACACTCGGCCACGACAGCGGGACGAGTAGGGGGCTCTAAGATGTGGTAGTGACTCAAGAGGTGGGGTTTCTGTCATGGATGAAATGTTGCATGTAGCCGATCAACCTCTATACAGGAGAGGGCGCTGCGGTCAAATGCGTATACAGCATGCATTGGATCAACGTTTATAGACGAGAGGGCGCTGCGGTGCAATGCTCAAATGCGTATATAACCAAGTTCCATACCACACATTCTCTTCCTGACATGGACCGTTGACTTAAGCGGTGAAGATGCGTTCCCACGGCTTCTAGCGGATCCAAGCTGATCCGCTAGAAGAACCGCTGACTCTGCATTTCACCGACCATAAAGCAGTAATAATGAAGTGGAAACGGCAATCCGGAACTCAGCACTACCTATGAGTAATAAAAAAAAAATCAGCACCATCAGCCCTACCTATGAACGGTAAAATCAGTACTATCATCAGCACCACCAGAGTTTCGCCCCAATCAACATCATTCACCACGTGGAGATGCGGTCATATTTTTTCTGTAGTCTTTGATACGTACTATAGCTTTCTAATATCTTATATCTCACCGTCATCAAGCCTCTCGTCAAATCTGGGGCCGTCAATTCGACGTCAGTGCGTTGCATGTCGAGCTGAAGTTTTGGGGTGTATTGTATGTGACAAGGGGAGTAATGGCTACACTTCTGTCACACTACGCATGATGGCACGTCATGGCGTTTCGCCTTGCTTAGTGCCACAGCGCGGACAGTTTTTGTTTGGGTCTAAAGATATTTTAATAGTGAAAACAGTGCGAAAACACGACGACCTAGAATAAACGCACCAGACGAGCGTTGTCCCGTGTGTTTCTGTGTCCTCGTGTTTTTGCGCTGTTTCCGCTATGGATTCCCACAAACACAGCAAAAAACAATTCTTCTCTACCTTTTATATTGCTACGATTGGCCCTCCCGAGGGCTTTGCAAGAACGTCGCCGCTCCGGAATTTTTTTTTAGAGTGCTTAGCATGACGTGAGCACGCAAAACATCATGCGCAGTGTCACATCTCAGGCTTTCTTGTTACGTCTAAAGGTTCTAAACATTATTTTGGATTCGCCATTCACCAAACTTTCATCGTACTTTACTTTAATTAACATTTACCGGCATTTCTCGGAGCAGGGACCTCCAAACCCCGGTCCGCGGATGGCCGCAGTCCTCGCAGTGACGCCCTCCACTCTTAATCTGGTTCCAGGTAGGTTCCAATTAAAAAACAACCCTCTGGACTGGAGGCGGTAAAGTCTTTTCATTTAGGAATAAAGCCTCTGAAGTAATCAAGATTTACAACCAAGGTGACGTTGATAAAACCGTGAACTAAACCCTCAGTAAACTTTTCGTAACAACAAGGTTTTGTATGATGATATACCAGCAAGAATTCAAATATTACGACTTTTTATCTTTAATGACACGTACAATAGTTAGTTACCAGTCGCATGTTTCTGTTTTGTATATGAATACTCGAAGCATTAGAAATAAACAAAATGAGATTGATCTATTTCTCCAACTACTTTCTGTTCATTTTGACGTAATGTTATTTATGGAAACTTGGCTGATTGCAAACGAGCCTCCGCCCTATTTTGAAAATTACAAACATGAAAGTTTCTGCAGAGCAATAAAAAGAGGGGGTCGATTAGACAAGTATGTTAGCAACGATTTAAGATACAAAGCTCTGGAAGAATTTAAATTGACAAAAATATTATTCAGCGTCTGGTCACCAAAGTGGAATCTGTGATTATTGTAGCCATATATACGCTACCGTCTGAGAATGTTTCTCAATTCTAGAAAGCATTTGATAGCGGAAAAACGCAGGTAAGAAAAGGCAGGTCAAAACGCTCCTGCGAAAACTAAGCAACGCAGAGAAAAAAAGTTGATGCCGTGTCGGTGTCTGCCCAAGAGCCTGTTCAGAAAAAATAATATCGTTTACACGAAATGCTTTTTTTTTAGTTAGAATTTACCTTTTGTTTGTACATTTTAAGACAACAATTTTACATAGAAACTTACTGGCCATCATCAACAACCCCTATATCAACCCTTTTTAAACAAGTATAAAGCATGCGGAGCATTTGGCAATCTTTTGAAAAACTCTTAAATCCTGACGTGTACTCTGGTTTCAAATTCTTATCCAAGCGCATCTTGGTGGCAGCTGTCCTGCCCTCCGACGGCCGAAGCGCCGAACCAAGGCCAGACAAAAGTCAAAGCTCAATCTTGCAATGTCATGACTCTTTCAAACAACGAGGCGTTCCTTATCACCTCACCGCGCGCGCGTTGCACTTTTTTGTCTTTTACGAGAGAGGGGAGGGAGGCGGGCGGGCGGGTCAGACCGGCGAATTGTCGGGCGTTGGCCTGTCTTATAAATAGGTTTTTTTTTTATTTTTTTCAAATTTGTTGAAAAAAAGCCGTGAACGCTACACTTATGCGGTTTGTGCAGGCGGGTTATACGGCCAGGCGGACATTATGTGGGTGGCTAATCACTGCGATAAGTCGGCTAATTAATTAAAATGTGTTAATTAACTTTTTAATTAGTGAAATAGCCATATGGTTCCAATTAGAAACTTGTACAGCATAATCGAAAACCACTAATTGAACTATTCTTAGAAGGATATAACGCCGGGGCAGCATTTTAGGGCGTTCTGCAAAAATGCGCTATTCGGACGCGTTTCTAGATTTCGGTGTGTTATCCTAGCGCATGTACGCGCCCGCGGTCCTGCTCCCCAGTGGCTGAGACGCGCAACTCACGTGCGCCCTACTTCCCTCCATTTTACGAGGGAGGCGAGGGCGTGGCTTCGCGCCGCGAGCACCGGAGAGCACGACCGCAGGCGCAAAGATGCGCTCAGATAAGAAACCAAAATCTAGAAACGCGTCCAAATGGAGCGTTATAACAGAACGTCTTAAAATACTGCCCCGTCGTTCTATCCTTCTAAGAATAGTTGATTTAGTGGTCTTCGATGATGTTCTACAAGTTTGTGATTGGAACCCTATGTCTATTTTCACAAATTAAAAAAGTTAATTAACGAATTTCAAATAATTATTCGACTTATCGCAAAGATTAGCCACCCACATAATGTCCGCCTGCCCGTATAACCCGCCTGCACAAACCGCATAAGTGTAGCTTTCACGGCTTTTTTAAACAAATCTTAAAGGGGCCCTCCGGAGCTTTCTGCGATCGTCTGTTTATGTTGTTATATTGCGTAGTAGATGAAAGTTAATATGTATACAAAGTTCTAGATTACAAAACCGTTTATTAAACAGATGGCAGAAGAAATATATCGGGACTATTTTCTCTTGGAAGACAATCCCCCATTCCCTGCCCATCGCCAAAACTTGACCAATGGAAATGCTGCATCTCGCGGTGAATGCGAACGTTATTCTTGCAAAAGTCTTCCGAACATTTCTTTGTTGTGTCTGTGTGTGAGCCTGTGCGAACTGTAAGGGACCAGTGCCTTCTCAGGCCTGTTAGCTTTTAGCACTGGCCCTTCTTTCGGACCCTGTCCGTAAGGAAATGAAATTAATCAAAAACATTTACCAGGACACCAAAGCACTTGTTATGAGTTGTGAATGCGAAAGCATGAATGTCCTTCTCCCGCTCTTTTAGTTCGTCTGCGGCCCACTCGCGTGGACGGCCACGTTTCGCTACTGCCGAGGTAGCGGCCGACGGCCGAGCGCGCGCTTTCCTGGAGTGGCCGCACCGCGCTGAGCTCGGCCGTGCAGTCTCTCCGTAGACTGCCGTGCGCGCTCTCCGGCCAGGCCCGCACCTCTTACCGGTGGCCGGGCCGCTGCGTACGCTGCGCCGCCATGGAGAGGGCTTCTCTGGTGGGGTTCCTTGGAACTACGCCACGCGAGATACAATGGGAGCCTCGTTCCTTGAAACTATGACGCGTGCCAGACAATGGGAGCCTACCCTTCAGATTTCTGCTACAGACGAGAGGCTTCGCTCCATTGGCCCAGGGAAAGGTTCCCTTTCGCGCGGCTTGTGGAACGCCGGCTCTGTTCGCTCTTTGTTTGCATTTATAACTCGAACAGGCAGGTGTTAAGTACATCAACCTGCCGTTCCAGTTCCACGCCAATCTGTACCAAAGAAAAGTTCGAAGCTGTGTGTTGTTTTTCTTCACATTTATCGTGTTTTTGTTCCGTGCGCTGCGGTGAAACCTTGCAAAAAAGTATATGATATTGCTCTTACGGCTGACTCGGAGAAACAGTCGCATATTGTCATGTCACTGTTTTTCTCTAGAGGATCATCAATAATAAATTCTGGATTTTAAGCGACAAGAGAAGTTTCATGTGTTAACAGGGGTTCACAAATTATCACATGTCATGGAGCAAAACGTAAGCCTGTTCTCATTTCACTTTGAGAAAGTTTCATAACGCATACAGACATAAAATTATATATAATGATCCACTTTTTTCCCCCAAAGTCACTGTTGAAACTTGAAATCAGTTAAATTTTTAATGTTTATATCTTATTCCACATTACGTCCGAGCGCAGCAGAAGAGCCCATGCCACCAATCAAACAGTGTGAAAAAAGCAGCGTCACGGCGTTCATCTTTTTGTTTTGTTTTTTGTCTGTTCTATAATTTCAATTAATCTGTTAAATAAGTCACTGGTGGGAAATGCTTGGTAGCTTGCGCTTTTAATAGGCGTGTAGATGCGTATATGTGTTCAAGCCTCCGAGTGCGCTGCAGTCTGGATCAAACAAAGTAGAGTCCTTTACATTTTATTTAGTTTCATTTGTTTTGTTCTTCTTTGTAATCCTGAACTTGGTACACCAAAGAGGACTGAAACAATGCACACGGTAATAAAAACACCACACTCAAGAAAAGGAAAACAAAATTACGAACACGGCATATAGTAATATAAGCAATGATGCACTGAAATAATTTCGTCACATTATTACACCTGCAACATGAGAAATATTTTGTTGCGCGCACGTTATGTCTTCTAAGATGAGTAGGTTTTGCAAAGAAACAAAGAAAGAAACAGAAAGGTTTGCTGTTGCTGTGCTTCATGTTGGCCAATGACCAATCAATTCCCTAGAGAGGATTTTGGGCATTAAAGTCACCAGCAACTAGGAATGTATTTCTTATAGCTTTCGGACCGTATATATGGGACGATTCTGATAGCGTGATAAATGTAAGGGGCTCAAAGCACACACTTACAACGATTAGTCATACCTTACCGACGTTCACTAACGTTACGCCCCACATTCCGGTGCATCCTCTTTTGATGTGGATGCGAGAATTGATAGGTCCTTTCGCACACACAACATAGCACGATTGGGGCCAGAAGGTCGAGTCGTATGATAGGTCACGTAGTTCGACAGTCGGAACTGGGCTTCGACTCGTGCTTCAGAGGCGGCGAGAATTGGGAACGGAAGGTGGACAACAAACTGCCCGAAGTCACCGCTCTTTAATCGCAGACAATTTGCGTTTCCTTGGAAAAGAAACGTCTTTCGGTGCCTAATATTGATTTGTAGAATATGAGTTAATCGGTGCACTGTAACGTGCAAGGATATGCTCCATTGCAAAGCAGAATTTGCTCCTTCAGGAAGGTCTCTGGCCTCCGGTAGAGTACCCATTGCCTTCAACGCTGCAAACAGAATAGGGAGCAGCAGCGTTTCCAGTTTTTTTCGAATGGGGCAGTTGTGTTGTCTTGCAGAGGCATTGGAGGTGGATTTGCGTCGGCTGTCTTTGCCTCAACTTGTCTCGCTGTTGGAGGCGTTGGTGTCTGAATTGAGTCGCGTATTGTTGACTTCTGTGGAGGAATCCGTGGAAGAAGTCGTGGTGGTAACGGCGGTGAGGGCAGTGCTGGTGGTGCCTCTGGTGGTGGTGCCCCTGGCCCGGGATTTCTGGTGGCTTCAGCGTACGTATATCTTGAACATGACATAAACTCCGGGATTGCAGGCCAAGAACGACACGAACACTAAAAGATCTCGAGACGTTTTTGTTTTCGGGTCATTGTTTGCCTGCAGTATCGGGGTTCATGTTGTGCTCAATCTAAACCAGCTCGTTTGGGCCCTTTGATTCACTTCACGCATGCCTTGACCTTACTGCATTGGTTTTGGAGGCGCAGAAGACAAAAGCCTCATTGCCTCTGGATCTGGTGGAGGCGAATAAGGCTTAGTCATTTTGCCGTGAATCCCTATGTGTTTGCGTAACGCTCCTATCCTTTTTTTTTTCGCACACAACCCACGAATGATG